ATCCCATCCCATTCCCTATCCCATTCCCTATCCCATTCCCTATCCCATTCCCTATCCCATTCCTATCCCATTCCCATCCCATTCCCATCCCATTCCCGCTATCCCATTCCCCCTATCCCATTCCCATCCCATTCCCCTATCCCATTCCCATCCCATTCCCGCCCGTACCGCAGCGAGTCGTTGTCGCGCACCAGGCGCGCGCTCTCGGCGGGCGGCAGCAGCGCCCCCTGCAGGAAGAGGCTGAGGCGGGCGCGGCGGCTGAAGCCGAAGCGGTGCCGGATGAGGCTGAGCAGGTCGGTGACGAGGCGCGCCTGGCCCGGCTCCAGCAGCAGCCAGCACAGCGCGCAGCCCGGGCTGGCCGGCGGAGGGTGGTCGAACTGCAGCCGCAGCCGCACGGGGCCGCCGCCGGCAGCCGCCATCATGGCCGGGGAGGGGCTGGGGGAGGAGGCGGGGCGGGCGCGGGGGGCGGGGCCGCCGGCGGGGCGGGGCCTCGCGCGCGTGACCCGCGGGAGCTGAGGGAGCGATGGGGCCGCGCCGGGCCGGGAGCGCGCTGTGTGTGCTGTGTGTGCTGTGCACGCTGCTGCTGCTGCTGCTGGCGGCGGGGACGGCAGGTACGGGGCGGGATGGGATGGGATGGGATGGGATGCCACAGGATAGGAACGACAGCCTCCGGGCACAGCGTGTCCAGCGGCCGCTGCCGCGCAGGCCCCGGGCTGAGCCCCGGGCGGTGCCGCTGCCCTGCCGGGGGTGGCGGCCGGGAGGGACGGGGAGAAGGAGGCAGCGGCAGCAGCAAAGCCCGGGCACTGCGGCGTGGGAGAGCCGTGTTGCTGCTTCTCCAGTGCGCTGCTGCCTTCTGCCCTGACCCAGGAGATAAGGGATGGAGTTTCAAAGGTCTGTGCTGGGAGAGTGCCTGTCCTTCGTGGGCAATAGAGTGATTGCTTAAGGTGACCAGACTATACTGATTTCATTAACTCTAGGATTAGATCTTGGAGTCATTTAAAAGCGGCCCTCTGTTTGTCCTGCACTGGCTGTCCTTGGGGACTGTAGAGTGACTTGGTCTCTCCCGACACTCAGATCAGAGTGTTGGAGATGGCTCAGCTGGTCAGAACACGGTGCTGATAACGCCAAGGTCTCACGGGCCACTCACTTCAGAGTCGGACTCGATGGTCCCTGTGGGTCCCTCCCAGCTCCGAATATTCTGTGAGCCCTGGGGACCCTGAAGCTGGTGTGAGTTATTCCATCCTGTCCAGTGGGGCTGTGCGTTCAGCTCAGGCCTTGGAAAGACTTTAAGTGTTTCCTGATAGTACAAATTATCCCAGTGATTGGGCTGTTGTTCCAGCGGCAGCTCTAAGGGCTCTGATAAGGAAGTGCTTAATTACACACTTAGCTTCATTCATTGATGATAACTCAGCCGTGGGTGGGGGTGTAAGTATAAGTAGGTTTCTTATAGTAATTTTTTTTTTTAATGGAAGCACTTCTAATTACCACACCCAAGACTGAAATGTAATGATTTGGAACAAGTGTAGTGGAAAGCCCAAAGCTGAGTCTTTTTACCTGGCTGATTTTCATTTTTATTTCCCCCCAAGGTGTAGTTCTGAGGCAGTCCCAAGAGCCCAAAGAGCTGTGGGGATATGTGCAGGTTCGGAGTAAGGCCCACATGTTCTGGTGGCTCTACTATGCAAATAACCCAACCAAAGACTTCACAGAACTACCTCTCGTCTTGTGGCTTCAGGTAAGGTTTGCTGAAAGACACCTCAGTGACAGTTCTTTCCATCTGTGGTTCAGTTTGATTGGTATCTTGCAGCCCTACAGAAATAGGGTTGAAAATTCTAAATGACTCACCTTGTGAATGAGGTGTTCAGGTTGGGAAGAAACAATGATGATGACATCCTGCAGTTGTGGGGTGTCCCCAGCTGCTCACCCTCCATCAAGTTCAATTACAGAAACAAAAGTTTTTCTTATCTTTCACCCAACAGTAGTGATTTTTGTGCATTGTAATGTCACAGCTCCTTTCCTGGAGAGCTTGCAGTCTAAACAATGTTCAGAGAGAGAGAGGAGATAAAATAATCAGAGATTTAAAATGGAAACAAGAGAGACTGTTTATAGATTGGTCCCATACTATCCCAGTTTGATAAAGGCAGTGGCATGTTCTCCACAGTCACCTCCAGCAGTACATTTCAGAAGTTAATGTTGAATATAATCACTTTGAGGATTTGGTCTTTTTCTTTCTGGGTTATTTCATCAGGGTGAAATGCACAGGCTGTACATGCTGGTTAAACTAATGACTTGCAAACCCCTGCAGATCACTGACTTCTGCATTGGTTATTCAGGGAACAAGGTTCTGAAACTGCCCACTTAGCATGCAGCTCATCAGATGATCTCCCAAGTGACTGCTTCTCTGTTTCATTCTTGCTTTCAGAAATGGGATGTGTGAACATAATGAAAGATGAGGAACAGAGCCTGCTCTGCAAATTAACGTGTAGTGCAAAAGCCATTTTTCAAAATTTACAATCTGTCGTTCTACTTACTGGCTCACTTTTACTTTTCTCCTATCTGTCGTGTGCCATGCTGCCTTTTAACTTCTTTGTCATTTGGTTTTTCCCCACAGGGAGGTCCAGGATCTTCAGGTTGTGGATTTGGGAACTTTGAAGAGATCGGTCCATTAGACAAAGAAATGAAACCAAGAAATACAACCTGGGTACAGTAGAGAGTTAAGCTTCTAATTATTGATTGCAAATGTTTGTTTGCTTGTGTAAGCAGATGATTGCTATGCAAAAACACACAGAACAGTTTTCATGTGAAGTTCAGTAGAACTATAATATTTCATCTTAAAATAGTGTGGTTAATAAATTGGCTCATAGGAGTAACCTTGTTTAGAGCTGAAGACTGCACCTATTAATTTAATTTGCTGGAATATGTCTGGGCTTCCATGAATTTGTAAAGTGCAGTTATCTGGGAAGCAGAGAGCAGGGAAATTGTAGAAAGTGTTATTTCAGATCACAGCTTCATTGTGTGCAGTCATAGAGCTTTTTCTGGATGGATGGCAGTGTAAAATGTATGGCTTGTAATTACAGGTCCAGTGTGGCCTTGAAGGGAAAACAAATTACAGCTGCCTATGAAGGTGGAAGTTCAATTAATGAAATGTATTTGTGCTCTGAGCTACAAACAGTCTGTAGTACTTTGGAGTTCCCCACATCATGTGGGTGACCTGCCCTGGATCAGTGGGGTTTTTTGGGTGCATTTCTTGTTGCAGATTGGGCAGTTTGAAAGACCTTATGTTGTACTTCTGTATTGGTGAGCTTTGCTGCTTTGAGCCATGAGAGCTCTCTGTGCTGATCTGATTTTATTTTTACAGTTGTAACTATCCAACAATAGCATTCACTACAGCAATCTCACAAAATCCCAGCAACCCAAAAACAACCCAAAAGAGAAGACTTTTCTGTAGAAGGAAACCTTTTTCTTTGTTTTACATTCTGACAGACAAGTGTCACCTGCACCATTTCTCTCTTTTGGTCTTTCACCTAATCTTTCTGCAAGTTCTTTCAGCTCCAGAGATTTGCTGCCTCAGTTAATCATTTGTGCCATCAAAACTTAAGTTTTTTGCTGGGGCTGAGCTGTGGTTTCATACAAACCTTCTTTCTGCTTGTACAGTTGCAGGCAGCCAGTATCTTGTTTGTGGACAATCCTGTGGGCACTGGATTCAGCTATGTGGATGATTGTAGCTTGTTTGCCAGAAACCTTTCCATGGTAGTTTCTGATATGATGGTTTTCCTTGAGGAATTCTTCTCATGTAGAACAGAATTCCAGGTAAGTGAATTGAATTCTCGTTTAGCATTTGCTTTTTCTTTGCTTTTAAATAGAACTGAAAAAGAATTAATGAACATATTTCCAGATGGGCAGTGTTTGCTGCTAGGTAGGGGTTGGTGGGACTCAGTGCAAGTATAATCACTGCCTCTTATTCCCCACAATTCAGAGTTGTATCTTGAATTTGGGGTTAGTTAGATAAGCATTGGGGTGGATTGTTGTCTGTTGAGTGATCTGAGAAGCATAAGAAAAATACTGAGTGTTTGGTAGTGAGAGGTGAACAGCCAGTGCCTGGCTTCTGTGAGCTGTGGTTGCAGGTATCTTCTGCCCTCTGCCCAACGAGTTCCTTGTGTGGCTTTTCTCTCCCCAGACCATCCCATTCTACATATTTTCTGAATCTTATGGAGGTAAAATGGCTGCTGGCATTGCTTTAGAGCTGCACAGGGTAAGTAGTTGGAGGATGTAGTTTGCTTCTCGCTTTAAAATGTAGTCTTCTACAAGTTCTTGTATTTTCTGGAATACACTGTCCCTGTTGCCCAATTCACAGGGGTACTTATCTTTTTCACTTAAAGAAAACTGATTCTGGAGTCATGAATCTATAACTAAAAGTCGTGGGTTTGTTTGGTTTTGTTTTTTGTGTTATTTACCCAGGCTGTTCAAAAAGGGACCATAAAGTGCAATTTTATGGGGACTGCTCTTGGAGACTCGTGGATTTCTCCCTTGGGTATGTTTAAAATCCTCAGACTGTGGGTGATTTGTTGTTGTTTTGTTGATTCCTTTAATCATTCCACAAGCACCTAAAGTCAAAAATGCCATCCCTGCCTTAAGTGAATAGATGTCACTGATGAATGCTTTAGGGGGTTAATGATGTTGCAGGATTTGTAAAGAACCTGCTCTGTGGTAATAACCTTAGGGCTAAACTGAGCTGACAGTACTTTTTTACTGATTAATTTACCTCCATAGATTTTTGTCACGGTCAGTGTTGCCACAATAAAAGGAAAGTAAGTTAAATAGTAAATCAGAAAGTTCCATGTTTGAAATCTGTTCTGTTTCTTTAGACTCTGTGCTGTCTTGGGGGCCCTACCTTTACAGCACTGTAAGTACCTTCTTAAACTCTTGGTCCTCACCTGATCACTTGTGCTGCCATACAGTGTAAATGAATGCAGAATTTGAAGGTTACCTCTTACCCAGAAGAGAACCTCGAAAGCGTGGAGGCTGTTGGCAGTAAATGAATGTGAAATCACAATTAAAGCTGTCCTCTTTTGTGTTTGCTTTCCAGTCTCTCCTTGATGATAACGGCCTAGCAGAGGTGACTGCTGTTGCCAAAGAAATAATGGATGCAATAAATAAAAATCAGTATGGGCTGGCCACTGAGCTCTGGGGCAAGGCTGAAGGTGTCATTGAAGAGGTGAGATCTTTGACCAACATGAGTAACTAACTGGTGCCTGGGGAGGCACATGATTTCGGGTTATCCTTTCTATGAGCTCTGGGTTGGCAGGAATTCTGCCCAGTCGTTTTTGCCAGTATTTATTTTATCTCGGTGCTGATGTAAAGGAGCTGTTTGTTTGCTGTGCACCACTGTGTGATTAAGAGAGGCAGTGGGTAGGGCAGCTCT